TACTGGTAGTTATTGTGACGATACAGGTACTGGTAGGTATTGTGACGATACAGGTACTGGTAGGTATTGTGACGATACAGGTACTGGTAGGTATTGTGTTTCAACCAATGTCTTATGATAACCACCTGTAGCTACTAGCTTACACTGGACCAATATTTTGAAATGCAGACATGTGTACCTGGGAGAATACCCCCTCAGCTTTGCTGCGTGTCTCGGACAAGAGGAGTGTGTTCGCCTCCTTGTGGCCAAGGGAGCTAATCCAAACCTGCAGGACAACAATGGAAACACTGTAATGCATATGCTGGTCATTCATGACAAGAAGGTAAGAGTTGTCTCCCCTCTTATCTGTCCCTTTGGTACTCTATGTTTTTTTTGAGATGAAAGGGTAAACTACACTTTTTTGTATTAAATGATTTTTAACAGTATAGGATGAATAACTTCACATACCCTTGTTATAATGATGTGTTTCAATTTAAACCTGCACCATGTGAATCCCAGTATTTAACACATATAGTCATTAATACATTGTATACACCTGTATTACCCACAACAGGCTGTTGGTGTTAACTGTCAATGTACCTATAATTATTGTAGCCTAAAGTGAACACTAAATCAACTTGTTTTGTATCAACTGTAATGTAATTATTTGTTTCAGCATTGGTTTTTATGTCGAAAATGATTATTAATTAACATGTGTTTCACCTGACGACGAATCTGTTTGTTATGTTACACCAGGAGAAAGAATTAGATGGAGAGGTTTGAACTCTTGACACGTTTTATTCTATTTTTGAAAAAGATTTTGTTTTTAATTTTGTTTTATATTGAAAGGTTTGATTTCTTTACACTTTTCATCGTTTTTTATAAGATTGTTTTTGATTTGATTTTGGATGTAGTGGCCGACTAGATGTCCTTTTTATATAGATCTTTGAATGTTTAGAATGTTTATGTAAACAGATCTTGCCAATTTTGTTGAAAAAAACTCTGACTAGACAGTCATTATAAAGGTCTATCTCATTGTCTATTATTATATAAAAACATACCTCACAAGTGTCAGCCTACGTGGTAGGTATTGTGCTGATTAGGACAATATCTTTTAAATAAGATTTTGATGAAATTTGTTTTGTATACAAATCAAAAATCACTCACTCAGTTCTAATGCTTGGCGCGTGTTTTTTGAGGCTGCTATGATCAGATGGGCTGATGGTTTCTGAATGATACAATCTGAAGGAATTATCATATTTTCATAAAATTTAACTCACATACTTCCTATCTAAGTCCTTCCCTTATTTTGTAAGCTTAGCCAACTAGGACAATGTTTTGAAGCAGTTTTTGGATTTTGATGAAACTTGCCTATGGTATATATACATACTAGTAAGTTTAAAGTAGGATGAAGTGGTAAAACTCATGCCAGGACTTTTATTTTCTAAACTGTCACAATGAATTACATTTTCAAACTATATTTCTTCCACTGATAATGGTAGTGCATCTACAGTGTATAAGGAAAAGATCTCCTTGTCTTAAAAAAAAAGAGAAAAGAAAAAAACTAAAATTTCTTTCATTGATGTGGTATCTCTTGGTTTTTCTGTGTGTTTCTGTTGTCAGTCTGTCTGTTTTTCTTTGTCTGTCTGTTGTCTGTTTGTCTTTGTTTTTTGTCTGTCTTTGTCTGTCTGTTGACCTTGGTGTATGTATACATGTCAATCTCTGAAGGTTTTTGTGTACTAAATGTGTCTGATAGAGTCACAGTTTGTCTTGTTATTGTCAGAAGTGATGGTTAGCTACCCATTTGCCACAGTAAGTAAAAATTGAGATAAACATGCTACCATTCTTTCCCTTCCTTTTATTAAATAATTATATAACAAATATCTGTTCTCTTTGCTTCAAAATATTTCTTAATGAAATTAATTATGTCCCATATTTAAAAATATGAAAAATAGTGTACTCTGATGGATTCAAACCAAAATGTTAGTTTAGTGATATTGGAATCCCTGGTTAACCCCTATTTAAAGGGAAGAAGACCACAGAAAAAGAAATGTACTGAATATTTTTGCAGAATTTTTTAGTCTCTTGTTAAATAAAATACTTTATGTGAGGAGTAATTTAGGAAAACGTCCATTTTTGTCAGATACCAGATCTGTGTACAGTTAACTGTGATGATGAGTGTGTTTTTTTTTGTAGAGTAGTTGTAATTATGTCATCAGTCCTGTGTGTTTTTGATTTTACATATTTTTGGTCTCCAAATTTGCCCCTTACCAATTAGGAATCATGTCTGCTAATAATGGCCCAGCTTACCTCACACATATGTCTGAGCACCTATTTAAGCACTTTATGAATTTTAAAATGGTCAGTCATTTTCTGTATCTTTTATACTTAAAAGAATCCTGCTGAAAGCACTCTATAAACTTAATTCATATGAAAACAATTGAAGTCTGAAGCCCGAATGTTCAATGTGCATTAAGGGTGGAGTTTAGATAATGTCAGAGCACCACTGTACCTGTGTGTGTGCATATAGGTATTAAACGACTGTTTTATATCCTCTCTTGATTAGAAGAACATATCATGATTTGTACTTTCTGTTTGCCCATGGAGTACTGTACTCGAACAATCATTTTTATTTTAGAAAAAATACGACAACGGCCTTTACCCCATGGCTGTAAGATTATACCTGATATTGGACAGTGTTTTGTTGAAGTAACTCCATACTACATGTATACAGAATGTTGTGTTAAAAATAGGCTTGTCTAATTCCTCCTAACTCACTAACCAACATTAAGGGAGACAACCTATGTGACAGAACATACACAAACTTTTGGCAGAAGAATTTAAAAAAAATATTAATCTGGTAGGAACAATATTTGTCCTCTTTTTTTAATTTACAAAAATTTGAAACAGTATTTGGTTACTTTTGAAAAGCATCATACAAATTAAAGTTATTTCAAAATGTGTATAAGTTAAGGGAAAAAATTCTAAAGAAATATTTTCTGGTTACTTAAAAACAAAACCACAATTTTTATGTTAAGTAGAATAAATCCTAGAAGTATTTTCTTGTTACTTAAAAACAAAATCAATCTTCTGTGTTAAGTAGAATTAGTCAAAGAAATGTTTTCCCGTTTCTTAAAAAAAATCTATCAATCTTCTGTACTGGTTAACTAGATTTGTCCAGTCAGATTATACCTATCACGTATACCTGATATCTATGATTTATGCAGTAGCTCTTTGTAGAAGACCATGGAATTATGAGTTTCCTATTTTCTGAGTATGTGTCTCTTTTCCTGTATATAGAGTGATATCTAATAGTTATATTGAATACACTATTAGTGTAGGTAAACACTGTTAAAATACAAGAAGTTAGCTTTTAACTGATAAGAATAAATAAATCTATATCACCTAGCTGTTCTTTACAGGAAACATTCTTGGAGTCAAATGAAAAGTTTCATGTGAGGAACATGTTTTATGTAATTGCTGGGTTGCTGATGGTGCCTACGGCTAGGATATTATTTCAAAGTGACACAATATCTTATGTTAGCTATATGAGGAATTTCCAAACTGTCCACTCTTCACTAAAAACAGTTATACTATGTTTATTAATGCATAAAAAACACTGTGATACCTTGCGACCTAGCTTTCATTGGGTTTTGAATTTGAGATCCGAGATGTATATTTATAGTATTTCATGATCAGTGAAAGGTTGATCTGGAGACTCCCACTTAGAGCTAACAGAAGATATTGTGAGTAGGGCTGCATTATACCTGCCATACATCACAGCTTGATCATTAAGCCTTGACACCACACCACCATTATATACAGTTATTATCCCCAGCCCCTGATTTGGGGATTTTTGGGGGTACACCAACATACCAGCTAGTGTTCTAATTTAATGATACGAGTTCCTGTTGTGCTGGGGTTATAAGAGAAAAGAGGTAACAGTTAAAAGCAGAATTAAGTTACCAAATTACAAACCTGCTTCTCATGGTCATGCAATAATACATGAAATGCTCATTGCTCTCCTTGCTATATCGAAAAATCTGCTCTTGAAAACCTGTTCCCCCGCCCCTGTCTCCCATGACCATTCCAAATTTCTCCCTCCCGCACCCCTGCTGCCACAGTTAATATTACTATTTAGCCCAATATGTAGCTGTTGAATTAATCTGATAGATAATTTGTTCCTTAATTTAAGCATAAAATATATACATCTGATGATCACTTACATATTTCAACTGTCCCCTTTTTCTTTTCTTTTTTGTCAAATAAACAAATTTTTTCCCCTATCTATAATATTGCTGACTTTGCCTTACATATCCATAGTACATGTACCTGTATGCATACTAAGCATACATACAAGACACATATATAATATCACCAAGATATACCCTTCTTATACCTACATTTACACAATATTATACATGTACCCTTTAATGCCCAGATATAAATGCACAACATATACCCATACATGTTTGGTGGTAGTATGCAGAAAAACAGGATTTCTAAATTCAGATGACACTTTCCAGGTTTCACAGTTCACAACTTTATAGAACAAGTTTTTGTTTTTGAACAGACACAAAAAAAAACCCTCATGAAACTAATAAAGAAAACTTAGGATTGTCAGATTTTCAAGTACATGTACTTAACAATTTGTGATTGCAATAAAATTTGTTTTATGTACATAATCGAGAGCATTTATCAGAAACAAAATAAGTCTATAAGGAAATTTACTCGAGAGCAAAATATGCAAGTGTGCATACTGCTATATATACAAGCGACTTAGAACTGCACACATCTCACGTCTGAAGTCCACATATACCAGTACCATACAGAGGCACATACTGTGTATTTACATTTATTATATAATGAATATTAAGTTTCTTCACTGCAAATCCACGAGAGTTTATCTTATTCTATGTACTTCGTTACATCCGACTTCTATTACAGGATATTTATGTCCCCCAAACGGAGTGGGGGGGACATTTTGTGTTTTTTATGTACGTTAATTTTTGTCACAAGTAGAGACAGGTCCTATATTTGTAAAACAGATCTAGATTTACAGGTTTTTACCATTGAGAATGCGACAGATGGTTGTAAAATAGATCTAGATTTACAGGTTTTTACCATTGAGAATGCCACAGATGATTGTAAAACAGATCTAGATTTACAGGTTTTTACCATTGAGAATGCCACAGACGATTGTAAAATAGATCTAGATTTACAGGTTTTTACCATTGAGAATGCCACAGATGATGGGTTCTTCATCTAAAAATCAAGAATTGTCTGATTAAAACTGCAGCTTTTAACAAAAAAATGGCATAAAATTTTATAACAAAATGTACAGAATAAGGATGACCTGTGTTTATTAGAATTGCTAGTAAGTACAGTATTACATGTACGGAATGTTGCCGACCTAGGAAGTATAGAAAATAAGGGGTTCCAGCACTTAGATCTGCTAGATGTTTCAGAAATATGTCGGCATTTATATTTTGGTGTTCCATTCTTCCTTTTATTCTGCAAGTTTAAAGGTATTTTGAGGAAACAACTATGAATTCCTGTATCTGCTTGTAATGATATGAAATTTATCACGGACATTAATCATTCCTGTTGATGAACTTTTAAAAAAAAAAATGATGATTGGTTTATTTTAAATGTTCAGTTGTGTTTTACAATCTTGTTAGGTAATACTTATGTAATTATGGATATATTATTCTCATATTAATAATGAAATTGTAATAGGAAGTTCCTATAACAACTACATGTATTACAGTCAGTATGACGTCCTATTCCTCAGTAATAATGTAAACCTGTAACCATTGTGTGTGTTAACTTATACCATTCCATGAAGAGATAAATGTTAATGATAATTATTATATATAGTTATACCCATATTTGTACAGGCTGCCGTACACTTGTCCAAACCTTGTCTTCTCCATGGTAACAAGAATCATTCCGGTATATCTTAGGTATCTAAATTGAATGAACAATTTTTCGATTGAATCCTGTTTTGTAATGTTACGTAAATCTGAGGAGCAAAGCTTTCAATGAGTCTGGGCTGTTTATTGTGTACAGAGTGATTATGTGAAGAAGACAAGGTAAGGATAACTGTGGGGTAGACAACTAACATTTCATTGTTGTATGATAACTGTCAAACGTTGTATTTCATGTTCCTTTCATGCTGCGTTCTGTTTAATTCACCACCCAACAGTACGCCTCCAAAAAGGTTTGCATCTTCAATGTTCGGTGTATGTTTCGTGTTTATCGTCCTTAACCTGTTTTATGTTTGCTTAGGCTTACTTCACACGCACGCTTCGTTATCAGGTTTAGGATGGGTTATTAAAGAGCACTTTGTTCTAACCACCTGTTGTCATGTTTTGTAGGTGACACTTACCTAGCTAAATGTATATTCTCTGTAAGAAAATTTACTGCAGTATGTACAAGGATTAGATATCTTTTGTACATGTGTGCAAGACAGACTTAATTAGGAATTTCTGTGAGTGAGAGAGACTAACCTGGGTATATTTAGTTTGAATAGAATGAATTGAGGTATGAATCTGTGATTGATATTGCTAGACCATACTGATTGTGTATTCATCTGTCCTTAGAGCTGTGACCTTGGATGTTTTCTCTGATAGTGTGTTGTCTGCCCTTAGAGCTGTGACCTTGGATGTTTTCTCTGATGGTGTGTTGTCTGCCCTTAGAGCTGTGACCTTGGATTTATTCTCTGATGGTGTGTTGTCTGCCATTAGAGCTATGACCTTGGATTTATTCTCTGGGGGTGTGTTGTCTGTTCTTAGAGCTGTGACCTTGGATTTATTCTCTGATACTGTGTTGTCTGCCCTTAGAGCTATGACCTTGGATGTTTTCTCTGATGGTTTGTTGTCTGCCCTTAGAGCTATGACCTTGGATTATTCTCTGATGGTGTGTTGTCTGCCCTTAGAGCTATGACCTTGGATTTTGTGTGTGATGGTATTTGTTGTGATGTCTGTCCAGCGAAAGCTGTGATTTTACATTCACATGTCTGATATGTTGATATGCTGCTAGATTGTGCTGAAGGTGTGTTCTGGAGAGCTCTGTATAGATGCTCTAGTACTGGTAATTTGTTTATGCTATTTTTGTGGTTTTATTATTATACCCATGATCTTTGCTACAAAAATAATTGAGAAATGAAAATCAGTGTGATGTTAGGGGTTACTGTATGGACTAACACAGTGCAGTTCTTCATTGGCTTTCAATCATAAGCGTATTCACAATTAAAGAAATAACACAAAAGTAGCGTAATTGTAACAAATGTTCGTAGGACTTTCTAATGTCAGACCTGTCTTATATGAGCACTCACTTAATTATACTTGTTGGAAAATTCAGACAAATCTCCTATACCTTTGTATTAAATTGATAGTGTTTATGTTTCTGATGCAATGCTGCTTAGTTAGCTCTCAAAAGTTAACTGCAACTGTTTGTTTTAGAGTTATTTACTGCATGGTGTCATGTATATAGGACAGGTATGACTTTTAGCTGGTAAATGTGTTGTACAGTACAGGAGATTATCTGTGATATGTGTTACTGTAGTTTACAACAGTGATATGCCTATTGATACTATCAAAACTTGTCTAAAGGTTTAAGCTAGGTGGGGTCCATCTGTTGTTGGCAACAGTTGATGTAATAAGCATCTCTTTGGGAATTGTATGATACAGCTTTAGAATTTAAAAAAAAGAAGACTTTAAAAATGTCCAAAGAGTTATTCTCAATATTTTTGCTTTATTTCATTTCTGATCATCAACATAAACAAAAGGTTAATCTACAGTTTCATAAAATATGTTCAGCAAAGGGAGATAATTTTCCATATTTCCTTTTCAATTTACCAGGTGAGCAGTACAGTAAAAGCCCTCTTTTCCTTTGGTATACATGAGCAGGGTTGCAAATATTTGTTGTATGTGAAGTGTGGTGGTAAATATGTGCAGACTGCATGTAGCACCAGTTGTTATCAATAATGTTTATACTCAAACACATACTGCATTATGTTCTGTATGCCAGAAGCACCTGTTGTCAAATTTATTAAAGCACATGTTGTTGTATGGTGTAAGTTGTATGTTAAATGCACTTGTATGTATGCATACATGTAGGTATACCAATCGTGGCACGTCCCCAAGTATTGTACAACTGGACTTTGTAAATATTAATAGAATCCATCCCTGATGTGAGGTATGGATTTTGCTCAATATTTTATCCAAAGGGTTTGAATCATCTTATCCTTACCTCACATCAGGGATGGATTCTATTTCTTGCTTATTACCTAATACATGTACCCGTAAAAAAGCTGCTCTTCTAGTAAAGTTGTAAACTGTCTGTGCGTTTCTCATTTGCATATGCAGCACGGATGACAATTGTTAATGACGTCAATGACCCTGACTGACCCCAAAACATCATAAAATGACGTCACAAACAGTAGCATGACCCTGCAAGGTCACTATAATTCCCCCGCCAGTCTGCCCTTGTAAGCGATCCAGACCCGTGGGTCGGATAGAATTTTCCAGCACTGCTGGAAATGCGGATATCTCGGTCTAGTATGCAAGAAATATATATATATTTTGCCTTCTAATGACGAATGGGTCATAGGATTAATGCAATTAAGTGCTAACAGTCCCTAAGAAATCCAAAAACGATATGTTTTTATTGGTCATAGTGTGGTCATCTCTGGTCCAGTTACTTTAATAAAGTGGTATTAGATGTGGTTGACACTTGGATTAAACCTATACACTGTATATACTCTTTTGTAATGTTTATAATATAATCTGAAATTCTTCTGTATTAATGAAATTATAAATATGTGACAATTAAAACATTCTTTCATTTAATATTCATATTTTGTATTCAGTGTTCTTTTTCACCTTCATATAATAATGTTCTCTTAATCTACCTACTGATTTTAGAGCATTGATGTATATAAAAAACAAGCATGCACATATTTCATTCTTCGTGTCCATAGGTTATATAGTTAGGGGACACAGAAATCATCTCTTAACCCAGTAGTTCGAACTCTAAATACGTACCCAGCCTTTGTTCATGTCAACATCACTTGTTTTACACAGCTGTTCATATTATCATGTTCGTTTCCACCAACGTCTTAAAGTTGTTTGATTTGAAGTCAGATTTTTTTTACATTAACCACATAACCAGCTTTCTGTTTGTGATCAAAATGAGTGGTTTCAGACGCTTGGATCTTGCACATATTAACACAGAATTTTTTATAATGAAAAGCCAAACAATGGTCTGCTAATGACATGCTGGGTCCAAATAGGCCTCCTTGTTGAATTCCAATTTATTATTTAATAATAATTTGGAAAACATTTCAAAGAAATTAGATAATGTATGGAGTTGCCAAAGATAGTAGTAGTGATATAAGCTCTACAGAATGGACCCTGTCATCCCTTTGTAGCTTTAGTAGACTCTGCCATGCATTGATCTGGATGAGTCCATTATGTTCTAAAGTGCTGAAAGGGTAAATTACAGACAATACAATACTGTATCTCTATCATAGCTGTTTATCATAATTAACTCACACTATAGAACATTTTAGAATTGGAATAGGGTTTTCCAATCGCAAATTATATCGAAATATACAAATGGGTAAAATGTATATTTGATATTGATTTTTTAATATAAAAAATTCCTGCTGAACAGAGGAGCTGAGTAAACTGAGAGAAGTTAACATGCTGAAAATAGTTGGGTATATATTTTACCTTCTGATTAAAGCTTCAATACTTAAATACTGATGAAATTGAACTATAAACTCACTAACACATTAACACACTGATTATTCTTGTATCAAACACATGTCTGTTCAAATATATAAAAACTGCACGATAATATATATGCAGTCATGTTTTGAAATTTTAGAAAGATGCTTACAATAACAGGCTGTTTAATGTTATAATAAAGGAGCATCATAGTGCACATGTATACACAATTAATAAATTAAAGAGAAGTCAGTCATAGTGCTTAAGTCAGCATCAAATTTAATGAGAGAAATTATGCCTGTAGATGTATTGAAATCGGGCCTGCATTGCTTAAGTATCTATTCATTTAAAGTAGACCTACAGATCTGCAGCTTCATGCCATTGACTGGTGACAACACATCAAACAGTCATGGTAACTGGTACTGATTGTACCATCACATTTATATCATTATTAACACAGTTTAATATATATTTTTTATAGGAAATGTTTGACCTGTTGCGAGATCTTGGAGCAGAATTGGATATAAAGAACCGGCAAGGGTTAACTCCCCTGACTTTGGCTGCAAAGCTGGCTCGGAAAGATGTGAGTATCTTTTACATGTATCGCTCACATGGATCTCCCCAACACTTAATATCATTTCATATTTGAGGACATCCCTGTCAACTTGAATATTTCTATTTCTGATGAATGTATTGTTTAAATTCCCTGACAGGTAGTTAGCCACTATTGTTATATAGGTGGAAGAAACAGACAAAATGAACTTTTATTTAACACTTAATTCATATTACATTGATAGATGTATGAGCACATTTTGGAAAAGATGCGAGAAGTGTGCTGGATTTACGGAAACGTGACATGTGCTGGCTACCCCCTACGTGACATAGACACTATTTCCAGCACAGGCGAGATCAACGAGAAATCAGCCCTCAATCTGGTGGTGTATGGGGTGAGTCGGATACATCAGCTTTCAGTTTGATAATCAGTTAAGTAGGCTCTCAACATGGTGTAGCAAGGCTCTTAATCTAGTGGTATACAAAATAAGGTAGATAATTCTTAAAGTACCATCTTGTGTATTCCGTCTTTGCATATTGCAGAGTTATCTTCTCTTGGGAGCAGGTATTGATTGTTACGTCATTGGTTTGTGTGAGAAAAGTACGTCATTTTCTCAAATATTGGTGACGCTACTCTCACAAACCAATGACGTAACAATCATTACCTACTCACAAGAGAAGATAACTCTGCAATACGCAAAGACAGAATAGGGCAAGTCTGGAATTTGACTCTGCCAATCTTGTTGTATGGAGCAAGTCAGGGAAGTGGGTAGACTCTCAAGTCAGTCAACCACTAAACATTTTCGAATTCAAATCAATCATAATGTGAAAATTAAATTAAACTTCAGCCTAGATTTTCAGTCCTGTTGGGCATTATATCTCACAATTCTTCCTTCCAGCATGACCATTGAATTTAATCAGGATTCAGCCTGTTTTACTGTTTATAGGAAGTTGTTTTACTGTTTATAGGAAGTTGTTTTACTGTCTATAGGAAGTTGTTTTACTGTTTAAAGGAAGTTGTTTTACTGTTTATAGGAAGTTGTTTTACTGTTTATAGGAAGTGGAAGGCCATCTAGACATGATGGATGGTGTTGTTGTCAACTTGCTGAAAGAGAAATGGAAGACCTTTGTACGCTTTAGGTATGTATCAATATCTGTTGGAGTTTGAAGTAGAGCTTATGGAAGATTGAGGTATTGGTGTTCATATTTTTCTATCTATATTTTTACAACATGTTGTTCCTCTCTTTTGTTAAATGTGTCAGGTTTGTTTCAATCATAGTCTCAGCCACAAGTTATGTGGAAAACGTTTCCATGACCCCTCCTTCATCTTCAAAAATCATGGAGACATACAACTGAAAAGGATTAATTCACAGTATGTTTTTTGCAATTTTACAATTTAAAATCAGTGATATGACAGGTCTTTCGTGTGTTTTGTCAGGTTCTATAGGAGGTTTGCTATTTTTGCGGTCTACTTTATCCTGTTCCTGGTGGTGTTTCTCCTGCGACCGGGGGACGACATGTGTCCATCCAGAACGGTCAACATGACGGGGGCAGAGAACATCACAACAGTGGAGAAGGACCCCTGTTACCTACTGAAAGTCTGTAACACAGAGGATATAGTGAGTAACACCTCTCCTAATATGTAGGTATCTGTTATCTTCACTGAGTCTCGTGACTCTGTTATATATTCTGTGTTAATCTTCAGCTTATCTAGATTCATGAACTCTTCTTAACTTCAGGAAATTCCTTACCTGAAGATTCCACATTGGAAAGCATGCCTGGGACCCGAACAAGGGATAAGGTGACAGTCTGTAGTCCCAACAAATTGGTGATTTTTTTTCTAACAGACCTTTAATCCCAAGTGTGGTCATGTTCTTGCAGGTCCGGTTCACCTTGGAAGCCCTCGTCCTGATTGGGGCCATCTGGTATTTGCTGATTGCCATGAAGGAGATCTACCACCAAGGGTTCCGCCTCTTCTTCACAACACTAGTATGATCCTAGAGACACACTGATATCACTGATAGATTTAGTTAACTTCTTTGAATATGAGGTTTTTGGTTTAACAACGGTCTTCTATATAACACAGACTGGTAAATGTATCCTTGTAAAATACTTGTTCCTGATCTGTGCTCAGTTTCAAAATGTTTTAGTTCATCTATGAAAACATATTTTTACATAATGGATATACAACAACTCGTAGAAGTATTTATGTCTAAAATTAACAGTGATTCAATTTAAAAATGAAAGAGAGCCCTCCTGTGTGAGGACACTACTGTTCAGAAGACTGATTTGTATGTTGTATTTCACTACCAACAGAAAGGTGCCCCTACCAAGGCCATGTTCCTGATGTCCTGTGTGTTCGTCATCATGATGTTGCCAGGGCGTGCCGCCTGTGCGTACATCTACGAGGATGTGGTGGGTGTGATGGCCATTCTCTTTACTGCCCCCTACTTCCTTTTCTTCTGCAGGTATGTTACCATGGTTACCTTAAATATCGAAGTACTCCTATTTATAATGCTTATATCTTGTTCCATGATATATTTTTATACCCTGTCACAAATAGCCACCTTTTTTTTTTTCGGATTCAAGATTGCCACTGTTGCCTCTAATTGTCTGTAACAATAACGGCCTTGCTAATGCTTTGAAGAGTTATCACAGAGGGGACACACTTACATCAAATGGCCAACTTTAAACTTTTGGATTCAAGATGGCCGCAATGACCTCTGATTTGCTGAGACAATAATCATTATAATTTGAGTTTTATGAATTCTTTGTAGAACGATAGGGAATATACTTTCTAATAAAAGACAGACTTTCTAGACATTTTCTATCATTATTCATTTTATGCAATTTTTAAAAAAATGGCGTCTGTTTTACTAAATTTTATTTTTTAACCATTTTGTTAATAACCTGTAAATAGAAAGGTATATCATGCTTTATAACTAATTCCAGAGGTTTCCCAATCTTCGGTCCATTTGTGGTGATGATTTACAAGATGATCAAGGGAGATCTGTTCCGGTTCGTCATCATCTACACTGTCTTTATCATTGGATTCTCACAAGGTAGGTTATCAAACCAAACTTATACTCTGTATAATATTCAGCATCCACTCATAAATATCCATATTGTCATGATCATATAAATATACATTCAAGCATCCAATGTTCCTGAAAGTGATTCCCAAATGGGTACACTATTTGTGGGATTGTATTTATATTATATGATACTTAGCTATCATTTCAGAAATCAGTAGAATTTTTGTCACATTGTTGTTATTTGTAGTGGGTTTGTAATTTTCAATGGAATGGATGTCGTTGTTTTGCAGCCATGTATATAGTGTTCCGGGGTATACCAGACACACCGTTCAGTGACCCTGCCGAGGCAGTCATGGGCATGTTCATGATGTCCCTTGGAGAATTTGGCGATTATTATGAATCATTTGATAACACAAACTACGCCACACTAGGAAAAGTGAGAACCGGAGCTTCCTATCTGCTCTCTCCTGTTTCTTTAACCTTCTATTTTAGCTCATGTTGATGGCACCACCTGTTTTAATGGTTGAAATCTAATTGTCAGACTTTTTATTTTGCATGAACCCCTTATTCAGGTGGAGAGTTTTGTCTTCAGTTGTTCATTAAAAAAAAAATCCTTGGAAAATACATCTGTGGCAATAGCATACTGACCTCTGGATAGGTCTACACTAATGCCTACATATTGGGTCAATATGATAATGTGCATTCATGTATTACATTACATTATGATTGGAAACTTGAAAAAGCTCCTCAGATGTTGTGAGGTTGAGTTCTGATATTGCAGTAAAAAGGTGCATTCATGTATTACACTAAAATATGATAAGAAATTTGAAAAAGCTCCTCAGCCATTGTAATAATGGATTCCTGATATTTTACTTGATGACAAAACTTTCCTCACCTGTCTTCACTGTTGATGTGTTGTTGTAATGTCACTTGTTGTATATAATGATGTTGTACAGTAATCTGGTTGATGGGTCAGTGTAAGTTCTGGACATACCCTCTATACCCCACTATTGATATGACCTATAACCCCTCGTCTGTCTAATTATAACCCACCACTTCACAACTGACAGTGACATGTGATCAATCTGGTCATTACTCTTTCATACATATCAGATTAACCAATCAGATCATTTGTTCCTTCAAACAACTCAGATTGACCAATCAGATATCATGACAATTCATTTGAAAAAATATAGGTTTGAAACTTTAGCTGACCCTATTGTATTTAAATGGTAAAATATTCTTCAGAAACTGCATGTTAATTTTCTTGGTCACTTATATCTTGTGAAAACAGATATATCTCCCATTTGATGTTCAGATAGTGTTGACACTGCTGGAACATAGCCATGCAAGCATTTTTGAAGTAATGAATGATGCTACTCTGTTCAAGTGTTGGTCTATCAGTTTAGTGGTATACCAAGGTTATACTCTGACCCATACAGAAAGGTTGCCTGAACCACCTGACCATAAGGAGAGGTGCCCTCTATATAAAGATGTCCTGGCCTTACTTAAGGGTCACATTTTAGTGTACTGAGGAGATGTCTTGGGCCACATAGAGGTGTTACTCCTGAGCAATGTTCTGTGTCCCTAGAGATGTCTTGGCCCACACAGAGGTGTTATTCTGAGCAATGTTCTGTGTCCCTAGGGATGTCTTGGCCCACACAGAGGTGTTACTCTGAGCGATGTGCTGTGTCACTGTCTCTGTAGGGTTCTCTCAGTGGTTTTCTGTTTGTATTGTTACTGTTATATAAGTATGTGTCATTACGTTACTGTCATCATAACCATTGCTTGAAAAACAAATCCTGTCCAAAAAGAATCTCGACGTTTTCCAATATTATATTGTGATTGACAACTTCTGAGTTTAATTTGCTTTTATTGTTTAGCCTTTTTAGCTGCCCTACATGTGACAATATCATACATATTGTTTTGATTTTCTTTCCGTTACTTTCTATATATTTATTTTGCTGAATATATATTATGATTTGCACATTTGTTTCAGTTATAGAGTTCACTTTAGTTATAACAGTGTGTTTCGTATGAGGGGTTACAGGGAAATCACCATGTCACTAGATAATTCTGAATGTATATCACTAGTGTCTTGTACAATGGATTAGTACACCGATAATAGTTTCTATTCCAGCCAATATGAATGCAAGGGCTAAGGATACCTCCTTCCGATGATGAAGATGTCTGATAGTCTGATAAACGCTAATGAAGTTATATATAAATTTTAAGCTACACGCTGTGTCTGTTAGATGTTAAATTTGATTTGTTCCCTTCGCGCAGAATATTTGTTGTAGCAATATATATTTAAGTACCCAACCTAACACCAGATAACCTAAGATATTATACTTGTGCTAAAAACCACCATCAGGTGCCGACTAATTATTACTTTTCATGGATATTGGTCTCAGCTGTTAACAATATATTCAGTATGACATAACCTGGAGTTTATAATCATGGTATTATCACTATTTGGTGGTGGTTGGGTGGGAGGGGAGAACTTGGTGATCTTCCAGCAACCTCACAATGTCTTCTCCTGTTTACAGCATTCTACATCGCCTTTAATGATAATAATTGTGATCCTAGTCAAAATGCATGTGTGTTCAATCACCCTATTGAGGCGATGCTAGGCCTGTTCACCATCACTGTGGGCGACTTTGATGATGTGTACGACACGTTCAGTTCGTCCAAATACCCAGACCTCCTTAAAGTAAGTCCACCACACGTATAGCTCCACCCTCACAACACGCTACACCACGCTCTTATACACATAGTACGCCAGATTGAAACAATATCTAAAATTCAGTAAAGTCTCATGAAATCTTGCATCTGAAACAACTATCATTCTTCGGATCCTCGTAAGTTACTCACATAATGTCCATTGGATCTGTCTAAAATATACCTGAAACATGGATCAGGAATATCAGACATGCATGCAACAATACTTCCAATCTTTATAAGCCTGTAACACAGGTATACTACCAGGTTACCTGTAAAAACCACAGAACTATCATAGGAGATAGGAACTATAAACCAGAAGTTGAGTGGTCACTCAGCAGACGAATTCCTTCCAGATGTTTTCTTTCCTGAGGTTGGTGGGATACTATTCATAATAGTTGTTTTTTTTAATTTTTGCAAAGTAGGAAGAACAATTTCATGTGGTAGATTTTATCGCTTGCTTGCAATCTGATAACACTTGCATTGCATTTACTGTATGTGTGAGTATTAAGTATTCCTGACTCCAACATTATATTTACTGTGCGAGTATTAGTATACATGTCACCCACATTATATTTACTGTGTGAATATTATAAATTGTGACACCTGCGTTATATTTACTGTGTGACTGTAGATGTTTTTGTTCACTGTAGAACGTTGTAGTTGGTGTTGTGAGCTGATTCTGTTCTAGTTAGGCGTTGTCCTGGATATATCCACAGTATACTTTGATGTTTTAGTTAGTCACAGTCACCCACTTTAAATGTTGTCACAGTGTTGTGAGGAAAATATAAATCTGACGTATGTGCAGGGTAAACCTGTACTTAGTATTGTGTTAAAGTTCCATTGATAAATCTTTATATTTAATAATGTCTTCAGTTTCTTTATGTTCCTGTATGGTTTGTATGCCATTATAGAGATGTCAATTTGATCTGACCAATAACATTGATTCTCGTATAGTTACCTATTCTCGCCTTCGTGGCTACATTAGCAAATCACTACGGTTTCCATATCTTTATCGGTTATTATCCGTGTATACTTTAATCCTTGAAAGTTTAATCCTTTTTGCCAAACCCACCTGAGTCATTAATACAATCTCCTAATTGTAAAAACGAATTTGATTTATTATGTCAAAACAAAGTCATACACTGTCTTTGGTGAACTGTTTCTTTTGACGTTTGGCACATTTAACAACTTGTTTTCCCCCATAATCCGAAACAATTACCATGTGTACATAACAATCCTTCTGTTTCAATAAAATTTCACAATTGTTCTGTTTATCAAAAATGGAGTCAAAGCTGACAATGTTGAGAACCATCAACAAGCTTTTCAGAGCTAAGAATGCTAAGAACCATTAACAAGCTTTTCAGAGAACTAATTTCCTACACCCAAATACCAGTCAATCCCTCTGGAACTTACAATGTCAACTTTAATATAACAGGAACTCTGACCCCATGATGATGTAACGATTCCCTGTGGAAAGTCTGCTTCAAAACTAATAGAGCCATGTGGAGTTGCAATACACATTCAGTGCAATACTAGTACATTTGTCATTGAAAAGGCAAAAAATCATCTTTGAGTTTAAATACATTTTCTTTGCATTACTGTGCTTTTTATACACGTATTTGTAAATCATTCTTCTCTGATTTGAATTTTGAGTAGTTGAATTAAGGTAATTTTTCAAATATCACTTACGTTTTTACAACAATAAAGTCTGTTATAGCAGAATTTACTTCACCAGTGATACATTTTGTTGATTGTATATATTCCCGTGTTTGACGGCCATGTGACTGTTACAGATCGTGTTCTTCGTGTACATGATCATGGTGACACTGCTGCTTGTAAACATGTTGATTGCCATGATGGGTAACACCTACCAACTCGTCAACGAAACACAGAAGGAGTGGTTCAGACAGGTATGTCACTGCTAGGTAACACTCTGTTGTTTAGGGATTATACAGGTGTATTATTGGTTGTCAGGTCAATTGCTACATCAAGGTCATAGGTTCATACATACTGCAATAAGTAAAAATATATGTATCCTCAAGTTTTCAAGTTAATTGTTATTCCAAGGATACAGATAAAACAATGTCATGGGTCATTTTGTACTGTTAGGCTAAGATACTCGAGGATATAGCATCGTACAAGATGCAACATTAAACACTGTTGGTGCAAAATGTATGTCTCCAGAATATAAAAGTGTCAAGTCCTAGAGGTCATAGGGTAACACAAGTTGTAAGGAGATTGGTGTTTCAAAATAGTAGGCATATATATATATATATATATATATATATGACCTCTGGTATATATAGGTATTATATAATTCTGTAAAAGTCATATATATGTCAAGGTCGTATATATGTAAAGGTCGTAGAGTTGTACAAACAGTAATGTAATTGTCTTGGGCTGACAGATAAATAGGTGTATAAATGTCTGTTACAGTGGGCCAAGATTCTGTTGGTGATTGAGCAGAGTGTGACAACAGAACAGAGGAGGATACAACAAACCAAGTACTCCCAGCCCACCAAGAATGACCGGGCACTTGTCATACGCTGGCATCAGTCCGTGAGTAGTTCATGTCACCAGGCACAGCTTCCTTCTTTGTGTCTGCTCTGTTATCCATAAATGTTAGTGAAAATGATATATTTCAACTACATTTTACCATATGTCAGTATTATACAATTTTTTGATATCCAGGTACTTCTATGCAAAGAGTCTACCCCGCTTGCTGTAAATGATACAGTTCATAAAATATGACTGCATAGCTGTCTTACTATTGAGATTTAGAAGATTGTAGCTTTCTGTGTTGTGTTGTCATTGTTTGATGTTGATATTCTGTAGTTGAGGTCAGTGTTGACTTCTATGTTGCTTGATGTTTACAGGAGAAAGAGAGAGAAGAGTTACAGAAACTGAGAGAAGCACAGAAGATGAAACAGAGGAAAAAGATTCTGGAGGAGAGAAATCGACGCATTCTAAAAAAGACTCCCTCAAACAAAACCATCGTAGCATCTGATGCCAAGGAGGGCCGAGTCAACATCTGATGGGGATGTCGTCTATAGGGAAGATGTGACATTGTTTTAATGGGTAGATACAGTGAGGCATTTTTAAGTAGAACTAATATATTAGTTTATATAATGTATCTCATAATTCTACATACTATGCCTTTGATAAATCACGCTAATGATACACCAGCTGGGGTTACCATATCAGCTAGCCGAAAGGTTTGTTTCCTTTATCTGATACATTAACCCATTTACCCCTAAAGTCACATTGGAACCTTAACAAATCAAAGACTGGGCCAGTCCAGTTTGAAAATGTAGGGGTGAATGAGTTAACAAGTGGAAAACTGTCAGGGAACTGTTACCATTAACCCAATGCTAGATTTTTATATCTCTTGCAGTTTGTCTGAAATCCTCGACATCACAATGAAAGCGATGCTATTTGCTATTTTAACGTCATGCCATAATATGTTAACAAAACAAACAAAAACTTGAGAAAAGAGTGCCAAAATTGTGTTTGTCAGTATCCAGAGATACAAAAAAATATAACCTGATACCTAACTATGATTACTAGTGATCGGTGTTTCATTAAATGGGATTATTTCAGTGAGACCGAGTTAAATTGATACTGATCTAAAACATGTTATAGATTATAAGGATACATTAACTAGTGGACTACCTGTCTGTTATTCAGTATGGTACAATATACACCAGCTAGCAGGGTACTCTACCGATTTAATGATATATAACTTATATTTATCAGTCCTAGATGTTGGAGTGTCATCTTTGATATTGTTAGTGATTGTTATGCTTGCACAAGTTATTTAAAATGTGTTCAGATTAGTTGCATTTATTAAAGAGAGAATAACAAGGATCAAAGTCCACTTTGTTATGACGTTATTTTATGAATGAATCGGAGAACAAAACTAAGGTTAGAATCAGGTTCTTTATGTTTATGAACAGGATTCACTGTTAGCCCTTTCACCCCTATGTAACTTTAGTAGACTCTACCATGCATTGATCTGGATGAGTCCATTATGGTCTACAGTGGTGAAAGGGTTAAGCTAACAGGGCAAGGTGAAATATTAACTGACGATACTTTCAAAATTATTTTAACTAAAAATTAAGCACCCTTGCCCTGAATCTCTGAGGTGTACAATTCCGCTACCCCCACACCCAGGGCTAGTATATTTATGTTTAAGCTAGTGAACATTTTCAATATTCGCTATTAAGATAAAGTAGGGGCTAGTAAGGACTTTCCTCTAAATATGATCCTTCACGTCTAAGTAAAAAACAAAGAAGACATTTGTACCTGCATGCTAGTACTCTAAATATGAAGTTGTACAACCCAGATTCTAAAGGATCAACTTCAAATAATATAAACAAAATACTCTGATCCTTCACGTCTAAGTAAAAAACAAAGAAGACATTTACCTGGAAATGTTAAGGTTACATGTTTAGCTTGACACCTGTGAGAGGTAGTTGTTTTTCAGGTAAGACAGATGCATGCTTACTACTGTGTTTATTATTATCGATACATTTAGGTATCACTGGTCAATATTGTTGATATTTAGATTAACTCACAAAGTTACTCCGTCGTTAGAGGGTAAATATTAAAACCTTAACCTTTTTGTTATTTTTGTTAATGATTTTATTATAAATCTATATTGAATGCATTGCTTATACATGTACTTAAAAAATGACATTTTATTCTGTCATGTTTATATACAATTGTTTATACTAGAATGGAAATTAATAGATGTTAGATTTGTGTGGTGAAGAAATTTATTTTAGATATTCCTCACACATGCCCTTAATGGTCACAAATTCATATACTATGTTGACTTGTAAATTGCGGTAATTGTTGTAGAATTGTTCTGACCTGATCATTCATCCATAGGATATTTATTGTGTGTAGCTAAGCTGAATTAAATTATACAAGAAATCAATCAAAAGAGATGTAAGGATTTTTGAACCTTTGAGTTTCTCGTTGTACCAGTTGTAAGATTTATAGTTTTGTTCTGCCGTCCATAAGACCAGTATAGTGCAATCATCATCAAACTTATGCTTTATATAATGTTAACATGCAAGTAACATACTAATATACTGTAGATTTTTATCAATTTTATCTTGAATCCGTCCAAAGTAATTCTGTCTTTGCTTATTTTCCTTTTCATTGTATTTTGGCAATACGTTTTGAACAATTCATGTAATTAGTCTCAAATAAACCTAGTCTGTATGTTATGTGATACACTGAATAAATCATATACTGCTGACGTCATATACTGCTGACATCGTAAAATGTTGACATCATGTCCTGCTGATATCGTAAGGTGCTGACGTCATATACTGCTGACAGAATGTTATATACTTCTATCAGGACATCATATAATCCTTAAAGAACACTGCTGAAAAAACACCATATACTTACGACATACTGCTGACAAAATATAATAAACCGCTGACAGAATAGCATATACTACAGAAAATCACATACCGACGATAGAACGCCATACACTGATGATTGATATTTACTGCTGGATTGATTTGCTGCTGAAATGATATTGAAATCAAATCTTTATACAAACTGTTATGTTTTGTTTTGAAATCCTTTTACAAACTGTGATAATCAATTGATGTATTATCAATATTTTGATATACAGGACAACATTTTTCAATTCATAGGTAAAGTATATACTGTTACACAGTCAACAGATTGTACGGTATACACTGTTACAGAGTCAACAGATTGTACGGTATACACTGTTACAGAGTAAACAGATTGTACGGTATACACTGTTACAGAGT